CGTATCGTAGCGTAGAGTATCGTAGCGTCGTGTAGCGTATCGTATCTTCGTCTAGCGAAGGATATCGTCTCGCAAGGTGGCGCATGGTCGCGTAAAGTAACGTTAGGAATCCCATCACAGGGTATTTTCGGGTCGCTAAAAGTCCTGTTGCCAAATTCATACAAGGCTAAAGCACTTTATTCCTGTCTGGTAAAACACAAGTAAAATCAAGACCATAAAGCTTGACAAATTGGAATCATGGCAATACATTGCAGCGGCGGGGCGCACTTGAAACATTGAGCAAACTGTTGTAAAGCGAATAAATATTCCCAAGTAATAGCAAGCGGCAAATAAAAATGCAAATATCAGCTGATAGCCCGGGGAGTGTGCAGAGGAGGAGGAGGAGGACAAAAAATATCGGAATTATGTGAATAAATGCAAATAATTAAGGTAAAATGGAAAATTTGGAGTCGGTTAGCCCTCAATATGGCTCAACTCCTTCTCATAAGCGTCGAGATAAGCATTTCTTGACATGGCATACGGGTAGAGGTGATCGAACGCTTTGTAGTGGAGGGAAGAGCTGCCGACGACTACCTGAAAATTGAAGATATGGCGGAAGAGATCACGAGCTATCAGATCATGCCAAAAAGTATTTAATTCATTAATTTGCTTAATTTCCATGAAAAGTCTCAAAAATGTTTTTTTATGCCTAGGCAGCCTTGAGATTGGCCTCTGATGCCCATGAAAATTCTAATCCTCACCTTATCCAACAAAATCGAAAGGTAAGCGATCGGATCGCGCTCCAACCCTCGTGCTCGTTCTTTTCTGCTCCTCGCCTGGTCCTCCTCATCATCATCTGTCAGATCAAGCGGGTTGACGATCGGCTCAGGTGGCCTTTTCGCTTCTTCATCCTCGGCAAGTCGGAGGGATGAAGCGGTGGCTAGCTAGAATACTAACATGACGTACTCTATTTCCTTTTCTCTTTCTCTCTCTCTCTCTCTCTCTCTCTCTCTCTCCCCCCCTTTAAAAACCTACCGCCAAAAACTCCATCATCCGGACTTCAATGTCCCCTCTGCCATGTAGGAAGAACAACGCCGGTCCGATCGTTACTATTGCCAACGGGATACAATGCGAGTTGTTCAATGCCGCCCTTATGCTAGGCTTGTAGATGCTCAACGGATTTTCGGCAATCCTTGGCAAAGCAATGGCGATTGCCGCCATCAAAAGCCGAGATACCGTGTAATGCTCGTCGGGTGGGAAGGTGGACTTAAAAAGATCAGTTTTTAGAGTTTTAATAAAATCGGGTACCTGTGCCCTTAATGCGTTGACAAGCGCCATATCCACAACCGTCTTCTCGCCGAGGGCTTCGCCAAGTTCAGAGAGTCCGGCCCGGACTTCATCAGGTAGACCGGCGTCCATGAAGCGGTAGCAGCGGAGGATGAGGGTGAGAGGACGAGCGAGGACTTCCCTAGAAAATAATAGGTTTCCTAGGTTTTGCTTCGGCTTAGGCTTAGGCTTAGGCTCGGGGTTAGGTTTAGGCTTAGGCTTAGGCTTAGGCTTAGGCTTAGGCTTAGGCTTAGGCCTAGGCTTAGGCTTAGGCTTAGGCTTAGGCTTAGGCTTAGGCTTAGGCTTAGGCTTAGGCTTAGGTTCAGGCTTAAAACCCACTTCAAAGCATCGTGTAGCGCATCCCGGAAAGAGAAAATCTGCCCAATAATCGACGTTCGCTGAAGAATCGCATCCGCGGCAGTGGTTGTAGAAGACTGACCCTAAAAACATTGAAAAAAATTAAAATACAACTAATTCTACAGTACCTTCTTCTCCTTCGGCTCAATTGCCAGTTCGTGAGCAACTTCTCGGATCAATTCGGTCTTGTCAAAGTGACGAGGGTCTTTGTTTTGAATAACAAGTTGGTAGAGGCCTTCTTGAATCTTCGGCTCGGCGCAGATCAACTTTTCGAGCTCGCCGATTTGGCTGGCGACGTGCCAAACGAGGCGCTCGGTCAAGTGCTTGATTCCGTAGGGCGAGAGGAGTTGGCAGAGGGCTTGCATTTCTGAAAAGGCTTTAATTGAAGAGAGAGAGAGAGAGAGAGAGAGAGAGAGAGAGAGTGAGAGAGAGATATGGGGAGGAAAATACTGTTTTTGTGAGTGAGTTTGTAAGGACTTACCGGCTGGATCGGTGTACTGCTCGGGGGCGAATTCGCTCTGCTCCCCGCCGCTGATCATCGCCTTCAGGTGGTCGCTCCAGACAAGGTTTCCGGTGGCGGCACGGTGGAGGACGACTTCCAGGTACCTTTAAAATGGGAAACTGGAGGCAAGAGAAAGAGAATGAGGTGAGAGCGAGAGAGAGCAAGAGAGAGTGAGAGAGAGCATGCTTGCAAACCTACCATTTTGTGTAAATTGAGGTGACAGTTTTCCGATTTTTACTATCCAGCGGCTGCGTTTGTTGGAGCAACACGTTGCGCATCAGCGTCTGCACATCGAACGCCACTAAATATAGAATTTTTATTAGCTTCCAACTTTTACTACAAACTACAGCTCTGAAAAGTCCCTTACCTAGCGTGTCGACGTTGCTCAATACGGTCATGTAGCAGTCCAGAATCGACAGTAACTCAGAGGGTCTTCTTGGGAGGGTCGGGGTTTGGGTGGCGGCGTCTAAAACAAATTGCGTTAGAGAGCGAATGGGCTGAAGAAAGAAGGAGCGAGAGAGAGAGAGAGAGAGAGAGAGAGAGAGAGAGAGTGAGTGAGGGGAAAGAGAGAGACCCACTAATGATCATCTCCGCAAACTTGGTCTCCAGCTGCTGGAAGAGGTATTCTGTCGGGCTGAAGATGTGCTCGGCAACGGTAAAGTTTCGGACAGCGGTGAAGGCCGAGGCGAGTTCGACTGGAAACGGATTTGACTTCAACAGTCCTTTAACGATAATTTTTGATGCTTGTGTTGCAATTTTTAGGTAGCTCCTGGGTTTTCGAAGCTCTTCTTCGCATGTTTAGGCCATGGATTCTCCTTGAAGGCTCTTTTAAGAAAAAATTACTTACCCAAAATTGTCTGCCTCTTGTCCTGGATGGAAAGTTGACATCTGTCTCGTCGCTTACTCTCCGCGCCGGCTAGTGGAAAATCTTGGACCAACTTTTGGGCCTTTTTACCCTGCTGCTGGCTGTTGAGAACTTGCATCTGGATTTGCTGGGCTACCTGAAAAGGTGAAAATTAACAAATCGATGCCTAGAGAGAATCATTTGGTAGAAAACGTACATGAATCGGTGTCGTCAATTCCGTCAATCTCAGCTCATCATCGCATAAATCCCCAATAATCCCTCCGGTGGTGGCGCAAAGGTCGCTGAGGATCTGGTCGGCGAGGGCAAGACTCTGGAAAAAATCAAATTAGCTTTTAAATGCGTATAGTTTCCACAGCTAGGCTAGGGGAAGCTAGCACAGACCGTTAGGAAAGTTTTAGATCTCCTTGTCAAGGTTTTTTACATTTTTTTAGCCAAATTCGAATACTTACTCTCTCAATGATATGCGTCTTCTCCTCGGGGCACATCTCGTGGATGGCGTACGGGAAATGGGAGCAGATCCGCGCGAAGGCCATCGAGTATCGGCAGCTGTTAGGCATCGTCATGCACAGCCGCCACTGGCGCTCCAGATGACGGACGTAGAAACTGAACGGACTCATTTAAGAGGATTTTGATCAACTTGACGAAGCTGTCAAAACCTAGCCGTGGCAAGGGGTCGGTTCCGGCGCTTTCTAGCCCCTTCAAAGAAGCGTTCCAGTCCAATTCTAGTACTATCTTTAATATCCTCACCAATATATCGACAAATCGCTTGTTTCCCGCAGCGTCTCCTCTAACAAATCGACCATCCTGAGGTGAAAAACGGCCGTGTTCATCGCCACGGCAAACGGTTGATGAGCAGAGAGTTGAAACGGGGATCGAGAAATCGAGACATGGGCCTAGAAAAATATTTTGTGAGCTAAAAATTGCAGTACCTGAAAACGGCACCAATCCAAGCGAAGAGCCCGGAACGAGACTTCAGCGTTTAGGGATGAAATATCGCGCATGAAGTCTTGGATTAGCTCGTTGTCGTCTTTGCTGAGGCCTTTTAACTAAAAATGGGGCTGAATTAAACTGAAATTGTCTAAATCTAGGCATACCATAAGATGCAACAAATTTTATAACAAATTCTTACCCCGTTCATCAATTCTCCAATAGCCGCGACGTCGTAGTTGCCGATGTACTGAAATCAGAATAAGTCTAACAATTCTTAAAAAAATGTCATTTTTGTCTAATAAAAGCGTACAATTGCAATATATCTATTAATCTTCTATTTTGTATAATCAAAATAAGCCCAACCGTCATGTAATATCGTTGAATAATCCCGGCGTGTTTCCGGACAAGATCCCGCAACTCTTCCATGTAATGCAGCAGCTCGGGCAGCTGCTTGTCGACCAGTTCTTCAGCTTTTTCGGCCTACAAAATTCATCATTAATCGCGATTTCCAGTACTTACCTTGCTACCATCCTTCTTCTTCGTCGACGGCCAAATATCGTGGTGGCGGAGGAGCCAGAGAACCTAAAAATTGAATTTTCAAAGTTTTTTGAGCGTTTCTGTAAAATATAATCTTTTTTATATGGTTTTGCAGCTTTCTATATTCAGCTTGTATTCACCTCATCTCTGCTGAAGCTGAGCGCCATCCAAACAAACAGAATTTTAGGGCCGAGCAGTCCTGGCTCATCGTGGATCAGCAGGGTGAGCTCTCGGAGGGCCCCTCGCAGGAATTTTCGACGATCTCCGTGCAGGGAAGCGCTAAAAGTGGCTTAGAAAAATTAGAAAAATTCCTCATGGGTCTCTGCTAGCTGCCCGAAAACATCTTCTCGAAAAGTCGTTCAAAATGCTCAAAAAAGGCCTACCATTGTGCCAAAGCGATCGCGTAAGCATCCTTGATTTCCTGAACTCGCTTGTTTAAGCCCTTGAAGCTTTCGAAGAAAGTCTGGAGGGCCGGGTGGATGATGAGGATCTGGAAATATAGTTTTTCTCACTCTCGTTCTCTCTCGCTCTCTCTCTCTCTCTCTCTCTCCCCCTCTTGCAAAAGTACAGTATCCCACCTCATCTCTAAAAACGCGAATCGCCAAGCTCCCCTGCAGCGACAACTGCCACATGCGCACGATTAACGGGTCGTTGAGCAGGGCACCATGGCATACGGTACAGGTTACTAAAATTAAAATTTAGATTACAGTCGACTACAACTTACGAATCACCCATCGCTCCATCGCGTCGAGTGACAGGTACTCGCTGGCAATCTGGAATACTTCAATTTTACGCAAAAATTTCGAAAAATCGTTCGCATAACCGACAAGTTCAAAAAATTACACTACGCCCTTGCTACCGTATACCGTATTGGCATTGGCGAGGAAGAACTAGAGAAATAGCGCTTTAAAAGGAACAACCAGAAGGGGTTTATCCAAAAACTCCCAGGCTATGTGAACCCTTAAAATCTGCCCAACTTACCGTATCCGTCTGGGCGACGTAGACCATTTGCTGCGGGTTTGTCGTAAGCGATAGAATTTGGGCAGTTCGCCAAGAAGCTGCGGAAATGTTTCGTCTTGTGAAGACTGGAGACATCGAGCTCAGGGCGGAGAGCATCAGCTAAAAAACACGGGCGAAATTAACGAGAGAGCGAGGGAGAGAGAGAGAGAGAGAGAGAGAGAGAGAGAGAGAGAGCGAGAGAGAGAAATCGGAAGCACGCGAGTGATATCAAACCCTTACTCGATTCAACGGCGTCAACTCCTCCGACAACTTCTTCAGCGGGCTCTCATAGTCCAGAATCATCTGACCCAACCTCGGGAATGAAGCCTCGGTTTGGCCATTTGCCAACTCATGGGCGGCATTGAAAAGGCCGAGAACCTAAATGATCCTCCTCAAAAAAATTAATTCTAGGACTCACAGCTTTCCGATCGTCAACTCGAGAGAGGAGAATCATCGCTGAGATAAGATTGACAACCAGATTGAGGTAACCGGTTGTCAGCTCGTAGTTGAGGGCCTTAAATTAAAGATTTTTTATGATACGATTCCTTTTAAGATTATTAAACGAGTTTTACAGCAATTTTCCTTTTTTAGATGTATTTTGGTGGCACGCTGCCCTTCAAATCGATTTTTCGGGTTTTTCGATTTTTGGTGTCATCTCCTCTTTAGAAATGATTTCTTTGTAGTCTTCATCATTTTTCTTCTTTTTGAACTTACAATATCCAAATGGCACTGCGCCGCGTCCATAGTCGTCAACAGTTGCAACACGTGGTCCTTGAATTCGAGCAGATCCGCGAATGTATAATAGTAATGGGAGAGCGAGGCGATGATCTGGTCCTTCAACCCGGCGACGTTCGAGTAGGCGCCCTGGAAAGAGTATTTGGTTTTTTTAATTGATTGCCTGGGGTACTCTAAAAAACCGGCTCGCTAAAGATACCAAAATCCCGCGAAAAATCTATCCGAAAACTTCTGGAAACAGACAAGTTTTCTAAGGATTTCTGCAAGCTTGCCCTCGTTTTTCGCCTGAAGCCGCTTTTGCAGTAATTTTCCGCAAGGAATTTCTGCTAACCTAACCACTCCAGGCGATTTTTTAGCGTCATAGCAAGGCGGCGATGCCTCAAAATTCTCTGCTAGCCTACCTCATTTTTTTTCATATTTTTATGGCGTAATCGGCAATGCCAACAATTTTGGCTCTTGAAAGCGACGCCTTAAATCAACTTACCGGATTTGTCCTCGCATCCGTGACCGGAAACTTTTTGACGATATGTTTCAGAGCGCTTTCCACAGATTTATCAGCAAGAAAAGCCGGTTTGGATTTGGGCTCGGCGCACGCCTAAATGTTTTATCAATTTATTGATTTGTTTTGATGGCTGAAAAACATGCGAATTATTCGCTAACCAACCTTTTTAATATTATACACCCTGGTGAGGAGGCCGATCGCCCGGTCGTTGAGGATCACCAGCTTCTCGGCGATCTTCATCTGGCCCGGGTCGAGGGCGAACACCATTTTGTTCTGGATAAGTGATAATTTGTGTAGATTTGGTTAAACAAAAATTGAACGGCAATAGGAATATAAATACTCCCGTTTAATAGAAATTTTAAATAAAAATTAAAGCATATGACAATTGTAGATATGATGGACTACAAATCTGAACTTCATAAAGAATTTCCTGAGATTTTTTAGCTACAAAATATCGCCAAATCCTGGCAATAACACCAAATTAGCATAGCAAAGTTCGAGGCACATCTTTAGTTTTTAAAGCCAGTTAAGCAAGTTAAGCATTTTTTAAATCTTAAAATTATCAGATTATCCCCCGGGAACAAGCGATTACTCAGTATTTGAACACAGGGCTTACCCCGCAGCCAATACAAAGGCGATGAGCAATCGTAGAGGGGGCATAAGAGAGGCATGGTCCAGAGGAGTGCTACGTAGCCTTACAGATATCGAAGAAAGTTAGCCGTAAAAAGACACAGAAAGGACACCATTAAAGCATTTTCAAGGCATTAAAATCAAAAAGCGTTCTAAATAAATTTGATTATTTCTCTCGGGGCAATAATAGCTAGCAGATGTTCTATCGAACAGTAGATAAGAATTAGTCAAAAATGGCACAATGACGCATTAATAGCGTCGAATGATAAGCAAAAAAATATGTAAGAATTTCAGAATACGGCGATTGAAAGGCATGTTCAGGTTAACTCGCAAATTGCATAAATTTCAGCATCAAATAATTTTTGGGCTTGAGTGCAGTCATTTTTGGGCAATATTCTAATCCGAGAAAACGGTGGGTTTTCATAAACAACCCTTCATTCTCAATTCCAGAAATGCACATAGCAGACTCTCAAAAAGAGCCAGAAAGTACAAAAACAGAAAGCTAAATTTCACTTTACGGTATGTTCTCAAAGGTCATTTTTTCGTCTGGAATCGATGTATTCGGATGAGTTCGTGCGTTTTCAGTTGAAAAAACGATTGGGAAACGCTTCTGGACAAAGTTATTAGCTTTTGAAAATTACTATGAAAATTGACCAAAATATTGGCCTTTTTGAAGGGGCTTGCTAGCTGAACACCCAATTTAAGCCTAAAAATAAGGCTTCGTGCCACCCGGGGGCCTAGTCGCTTCGGATGGGTGCGAGCTCGTACAGGGTTTCGAAATCGGGGCGCCCGAGGAGCGCGCAGCGCCCAGGCGCCCCGATTTCGGAAGAGTGGGAGCGGCAGCCCATCCGAAGCGACGGCCCGCCTTGCCTGACAATGTTGGAGGCCACAACTAACTGTTATTTATCTATTCGATGCTTAAAATACTATTTTTAAAAATTATAAATGCTTTTAGATAAGTACGTAAGTGCTGGCAGAGAGCGCACGCGTTAGGTTGCGGGGATAGGAGTGTTGCGTAGCCTACAGTCCTTGGCAAAAATATCTTTGAAACGTCATAACTTTCTTATTTTAAATTTCCCAATTGTTTTTTCAACTGGAAACGCACAAACTCATCGAGCTGCACCGATTCCAGTTGAAAAATTTACATTTTGGGACCATACCGTAAAGTGAAATTTTCCCCACAAAGTTACAAGATCCGTAAAAAAAAAGATAAAAAACTTTATTCTCAACACAAAAACGGGCGCAAATCAAGTAGAAACTGATGATCTAAGTTTGGCTTTTTCGCATCCGATCGTGAAGAGAAGACGGCCGCCCAAAGTTCAGCTACAGGATGGCGCAGCAGCCCTTCTTTGGAGGAGGCTGGAAAGACGTTAAGAATAAATCATTTAACACAGATTCGACCTTTGCCGGCTCCTCGTTGGCGTGCGAGCGTGGCCTCGGTGCCGGCTCTTCCATGCCGGAGGGGTGGATCAGCCTGGCGAAGCTGAAACGGGAGGGTTAGGCTTAGGGGTAGGAAGAGGCTTAGGCTTAGGAATGGGCTTAGGCTTAGGCTTAGGTTTTGAGTTTTAGGCTTGGACTTAGGCTTCCGGTTATGGATTAGGCTTAGCTTAGCTTATACTTAGGCTTACGCTTACGCTTAGGCTTATGCTTCAGCTTCGGCCCCGGTCCAGGTTTAGGTTAGGCTTCGGTCTAGGCATAGGCTTAGGCTTATCCTTAGGCTTAACATCCTCACCCAGCCGGCTTCGGGGTGACCTTGATGGAGCGGATGCCATTCCAGCCGGCGGGTGTCAAATTCTTTCCCTCGTTTCGCCGCTCGACCTGTTCCGCCAGCCTGTCATGTTTCTTCTGGCCTCTGGAATTTGCGCATTCGAAAGGGCCTGACAGCGTGCACGCACCCTTGCATCATCCTTTCGCGCTTGTCCTTCTTCAACGGGGCGAGGATGAAGGTGGAGGTGGCGAGTTGGCGGGTACGGCCGGCTTGGTTGATGGTACTGCAAAGGTGGTGTAAAGTGAAGTATAAGCCTATGCCTAAGCCTAAGCCTAAGCCTAGCCCTAAGCCCAAGCCTAAGTCTAAACCTCAGCCTAAGCCTAAGGCTTCACCCCTTGCAAACCTCGGGAGGTTGCGCTCCTTGCTGTCGGTGCTGGGTGAGGCCGCTTCCGGCGACGGCTTCCCCCTAGTATTATATTTTATTTAAGGACCATTGAAGTCAGCGCTCACTTCTCCTTGGAGTTGTTGTTCTTCCCAGACTTCTTCTCAGACTTCTCCGACTTCTCGGACTTTTTCGACTTTTTCGATTTCTCGCTCTTCTTCGATTTTTCCGACTTCCTCGACTTCTCGCTCTTCTTCGACTTTTCCGACTTTTTGGACTTCTCCGACTTCTTCGATTTCTCCGACTTCTTCGACTTCTCGGATTTCTTCGACCGCTCGGACGGCCTCTCCGACGGCTGCGTCTTGTCCAGCTTCAGCTCGCCGGGGCTAGAAAAGTATGATTTGAGGTAAATGCACAAATGAATGAAAAATAACTGCTCGCTAGCCTTTAAAAAATTTCAAGGATCTCGATCACAACGACTCGGGCAAGTTCAGAAACTCCACAAGACCAGACATAGCTCAAGGTCATTGGGTTAAGCGAGTTTTTATTAGCTCTAAGCTCTTATTTGCCCACTCTTTGTCACTCTCCCTTTAGAAACTTCTCACGTGGTCCCGATCTCGGTGCCCTGGGTGGAGGCCTGCTGCAGGACTGACTGGCCTACTTCCGGCTCGGGCTTTGACGGTGACTGTAAAGCAGCGTAGTTTGTAGTCTTGTAAAACTCGTAATTTTGCAGATTTTCGTAAATTCCAAACCTTAGCCTCGTCCTTCTTCGCATCCTTACCCTTCTTGTCGTCGTCCGCTCCGTCTGGGCTGGCCTGGAATTTCAAATATTACTTTACTAAATCCTTTCATTAATGCTTAATTTGCGAATTTTTAATTTCTAAAAAATCATTAAAATCATAGACGGAATTGTAAGCAACTTGTAAAGGAAATATCGAAAAACCTGCCTTTTCCTTCTCCTTGGATGAATTAGTAGGTTTCTCTACCATCACGATGTTAAAGAATATCAAATAATAAAAGAAGCGTACTGTAGTAAAATGAAATTTGGGGAGTTTGCTGCTATTTTATAGGCGAAAATTGATGGAAATTCGGATTCAGTAAAAATTATTTGAATTACATATGCAAATTTTGTGGAAAATCGCAGTGCCGTAAAGAGAGATAGAGAGAGCGAGAGAGAGAGAGAGAGAGAGAGAGAGATATCAATTGCTTGTTTTTCGATGCGTCATTTACTCCAACATCCATAATTTATCTTCAGAGATCTCATAAAGACCAGTATTGTATTGAAATCACACGTTATGAGAGGCGTACAAAAAGCCGAGCAAAAAATGTCAGTAGCATCACAGAGTATCCTACTATATATAAAAAAATAGTGTCTGTGTGTGTGTGTGTGTGTATGACACTTTGCATGCAACTTCCGTCAGCGTGTCCGGAGGATATCTCGATAGGGGATGAATTGTTAGGTATGTATGATACGTCATTAGGTGCGTAATGGCTCTGGGATGACTGCAAGCTTATCAGATTTTGCAAATTATGCTATTTTCGACATTAAATTTAGGTTTTTGTGAAATTTTCGGGCATCCTCTTTGTTAGGAAACAATTTGCATACGCCGGAAGTGGTGGTGGTCTATATTAAGGGGCAGAGGGAGCGTTTTTCATTATTTTTTCATCGCAGCCCGGGCGAATTATGCAAAGTGAAGAATATCATGGGCCCAAACGGGGCCAGGGTTGAAAAGTCGCGTAGCGGCTTTTCAACCCTGGTAATGAGATTAATTGGATTATTTACATCCCTCATGGTAGGCAAGCTTCAAGCGTGTAAAGTCGTAGATAGTCGGCGGCAGGAAGTCTTTCATCACTTTTCTGAAAAATATGTTGTTTTTTTAGCGATTACGGTATGGTTAGCAAGCAAAAAACGCGTTTTTTAAGAACGGTAATTTTAGGAATTCTAAAACTGCGTTTTTAAGCACGTCTAAGGAATGTTAAAAAACTTTACATCTATTTTTTTTTTAATATTACGTTTGTTCTACGAAAAAAAAACGCAAGCTTTCAAATATTACGGTAATTCTAGGAATGAAATACTTTTACGGAGTACTGTAATTTTTCGAATTAAACAAAGCCTTTTTAAAATGATGGCAATTCTAAAAACCCAAAAAAAACTGAAAAACTCACGAGCACGACTTGCACGGCGTATCAAAAATGTGCTGGATCTTCGCGAAATGGTTGAAGAGCGTGGAGAGGTGCTCAGGGTTCTGATAGTTGACCTGGGAGCTCATCTGGACGAGGTGGATGTTCGTCTGGGTGGTGAGCTTCCTATAGACGAGGTACTCGCTCTCCTTCGTGGTGTCGACCTGAAAAATCGCGGTAATGGGCCCAATTTCGAAAACGCACCTTTTTATCGCCCGTCGCGTCAGTGAAGAACCAGTCTTCGTGCGGGGCGACCATGATCACGCCCTCCAAAATGCCATACTGCACGATGAGCAACATCTTTTGGCTGCACACGAATTGACGGCTGTCCAAGAAACCGCCGAATCGAAGCTAATATTATTATTTGAGTGATTTTCAGCTTTTCGACCCTGGTTATTATTAATTTAAGGTATCAGAGCATCCTTCAAGGTGAAATCAATTACGTTAGGTTCTAAATAATTTTAAATGTGCATATTACGGTTAGAAACCGAATTTGTAATTTCGAGCCAACCTCGATCAGCGCCTGCATCGTCCCCTGCTCCAGATACATGCCCTGGATGCCGATCTTCTTCTTCTTGTACTCGGCTTGTAGCTAGAATATTGGGGGCAATAAAACGTAATATTTTCAACGTCCGCGGAGCTTTCGCATTATCGGGGAGGGGGTAATGGTTTTTCTAAGTCAGATAGTCTAGTAATGCTAAATAACGGATTTTCAATGTTTTTAGTCAACTATAGCAACATTTCAGGCGGAAAAGCTATCTAAAAGGCGCAGAAAATTAAAAAAAAACTAGCTGAAAAAGCACCTCTTTTAGTCAAAAAAATTAAGCGAAACTTCCCTCCCCCCGATAATTCCAAAGCACCAATAACATCAAAAGAACCTACCCTTGCAAAACACTGCTCGAACATGCGGTGTGGGTTGTGCGGGTGCCAGTTTGAGTAGGGGATGGGCTTCGAAATCAGCGAGGTCGCTCGCCGGGTGTAGGGCCGGGGTTGGAGGAAGAGTTGGGAGAATGAGTAGGTTTGCTGAAAGTCGTTCTCAATTTATCGCATTTCCACTACTAACAATTTTTCGTTACATCTTCTCAAATAAGAACGAACTTTACAAATAAACTTACATAATTCGACTCGTTCCAATTCCCCGCGTCAATCGCACTATCGATCGTCTCAATCGCCGAGAGCTCGTATTGCTCTTCCTAAAAAGCTAGATCAAAAAATTTGATAACTTCCCTCACCTGATAAACACTTTTAAAGTTCTCAAGCCCATCCCACGTGGGCACCGACTTGCCGAGCTTCTTCGAGAGCTGCTCTATGCAATCGAAATGCTCGACAAGTTTCCCGGCCTCCTCGAGCTCTTCGGGTTCCGGAACCTCGTTGACCGACGAGACGACGAGCTCGTCCATTTTGTTGACAATCTGCCGGATTCGTCGCAGGAAGAAGATTGCTGAAAAGAAAATTCCCTCGTTTGTACGTTTTGGCCTACTGTCATTGACAACTGAATGATAGGCCTTCCTGTCCAATGGCAGTTCTGGGGCTGGGTCGGGTTGGGGTTGAGCCCTGCCTGCTTGCTGCTGTTGCTGTTGTTGTTGGGGCGGTTGCAGAACCGGTTGCGGGGCTTGTTGGGGAGGGCCTTGCATGGCTTGGCTGGCCATTCTGAAATCTGAATATCCGGCTCTTCAATATTTCAGACAAGAATTCGAGAACTGCCAAAAATCGAGATTTTTAGTATTTTTTAGACAAAATTTGCAAGTTTGGAAAATTAAATAAACTAAACCTTTCTTTAGTATTTTGAGTGCGAAAGGTCAAAAAACGGCCGAAAAAATCCGATTTCTAGTACTTTTCATAAAATTTGAAGCTGTAGAAAGACTTCTTTCCCTATATTAGAACAAGCTGGTTCTGTTCGTATCTTCCGGAAATAATAAAGAACAAAATACAAAAATAAGAAATAAATATTTGCTCTTGGGACAATTCGTTACATAAAAAAACTCCCAAAAAGGCTCCTATCATTTATTCGATCGTAACACACCATTTCGCTTCAAATAATCATACAAATATATATCTACACGTCAATAGAAATGGACTGGAGAGCAACTCGCGAGCAAAAAAAAGAGGACTTAGAAGAAGAATATGTTTAGAATTGCTTCTGGACGGGCTTTTCCTCCGGGAGCTTCGTCTGCAGCTTTGAGAGCTCGCTGTCCCAGTCCTAGAAGCAAAATGGGAATCAGAAACGAAGAAAAATCGAACCTTCTCAATCTTGCTCCAGTGCTGGAGCAGCTCCTTCTTGCGCTGCTCGCGGCGGTTGAAGTAGTAGGGGAATTGCTCCTTCTCCGGCAGGGTCCACTGTGGACTGTCGACGATCTGGTCGGGCGACTCGCGCTCACGGTCGTAGGAGGAGCCTGGAAAAAGGTAAATTATGACAGTAAGATTTATAAAATTTGGCCAGATTCTTCCACAAATTTTTTTCAAAGATACTGAACTTAAAAGTTTTGCTAAAACTCGAAAAATCTCGATTTCGCGAAGAAAAATTCAATTTTCAACTTCTTTCTGACTCAGTTTTCCAGTTATTTTTTGCCAATTGAATATAGCCGAGTTTTGGCCATCTAACCGAATTGTCGGAATAAGCGATAAAAATGGAATTAGAATACTTTTAAAAACATAAATAGTGTTTCAACAAGAAAATTTGGCCGTTTTCTAGTCGAAAAACCATCGAAAAAACTTAGAAAAAGAGCTAAAGTCGGAAAGTTTAGTCGAAAAAAACGAAATTTTCGTATTTCTTGACCACAATTTATAGTTTTAGTCTCTGTTAAAAACCATAATCGGAAAAAAAATCCGTTAACGTGAATGTTCCTTAAAAACCGACCCATCGGGTCCATGGCGAAGCGGAAGGGCTTGAAGTGGCGCTTCTCCCAGAGCTGCCTGCACCCATCGGCCAGCATTAGTTGGGCTTTTCGGGTGTCCTAAAAACAGAAAATTTCTCTCAAAAAACTACAAATTTACCCCCTCATCGGCATTCGCGTCAAAACGGGCCCTCATGATGACCTTTTGGAAGCGGACCTCGAGCATGTCGCCGCCGTACCAGTTGTCAATCTCGCGCAACGCTTTCTTGTACAGCCGACAGACCTGAAAAATTCAATAAAACTAGAATAGCCAAGTTTTTATCATTAAAAACTATAGAAAAACACCAACCTTCTGCCGGTGGGTCAGCGCCTTGGTGAACATCCATGCCGGCGACTCGGCCATCTTTCAGCACAATCACCCGCGTTTGCGATACCTGCAAATTTATACAATTTTAGAGGAAAAACGTCGAAACGGCACGGAAAGGAAAACAATGAGCACGCAACAATAAAATTAAGGAAACGCAACGAAAAACAACGATCTAATTTAGCTAGAACCAAGAGAAGAACTAAACTAGTATCCTACTTTTCTACCGAAGATTAGTTTACAACGAAAACTACGAAAAGATCAAAAACCAGCAAAAACATACAATCAGAAACATGTGAGCGCAAAGATCAAACACCCGAAAGAATGAGCTGAGAAATAAAGTATATTTTCTATTCTCGCGGTGGCGGGATGGGGTAGCTCTTCGGAATCGCCTTCCATTCTTTTTCCGTCCGCTTGAAGATTATCTGGCGCGTGAAGTGGCTCATCTTTTGCTTTTCTCGCAGCTCCTTGACGGCCTGGCGTTCGTGCGGTGGTTTCAGGAGCTCGTCCAAATTGCAGGTCACTGGCGTCTTCGCCTCGTGGGGAACGACGGCAACGTGCAGCGTGTCCAAATCGTGCTTCAGCGTGTCGAGAACGGTGTCTTTCATCTAAAAATCGAAAACGTGGCTTGTAAATCTCAGAAAAATCAATGGGGCAGAACCGAGAAATAGACAAAAAACGATGCCAATGTGCCCCAAAATGAATCTAGAGGTAATTTTGAGCATTGCTTCCGAATTTGGCGCTTTTATAAAGCAAAAATCTTACTTACGATTACAAAATACTACAATACAAAAAAAACATTTTCAGACAATTTTCAATTGACTTTCATTAGACCTAAAAACAAGTTCAGGTTTGTCGTCTATAAGTCGGCGATTTCTCAAACTCCACCAACCTGCCGTGACATGTGCGTCCAGAAGAGGAACATATTCGACGCGTGCACCCGCTCATTGGTCTGTTTTGTGATCCGACTGTGCGCCAGGTCGCGGTGGCCCAGCGATTCGACCTTCTCGATTACGGCGCCTAAAAGAACACTAAAAAGCCAAAAAGCTGCCAGTTACCTTGATTCAGAATCGTCGTCCCCGCTCGCACCAACGTTTTGACCAAATCCGGTTTGGCCAGATTCCGCGTGATCACCGTTACTTCGTAAAACGGCATTGGAGAATCTTCAGGTCAAGTTTTAGCGCGGCAAAATACCTGGAAATTGGAATTAAAAAGGCGGGAAATCATCTTCAAGTATAAGAAGAAAATAAATCAAAACAGATAAAATAAAACGTTATAGTTTAAAAACTATTTTAGAAGCTTTTCCAAGAGAGATTTTTGCAGGAAACACACACTCCAAGGGGCAACTGTGAAGGCGCACTTTTCAAGCGTCATTAGTATCGTCGCGTTATGACGTTTAGCGGAATGCCAGATGCAAATTTTTACATGTAAATTCAGGCTTTTTCGGATATAGCAAAGTTAGATGGAAAGAAAAGAATGCTAATTTTATGCCGTATAACTTTTTATTGAGTTTTGGCGACCAGGCATTGATTTACTGTAAATAAAGTTGACTGTAAGCCCTGATTTTTCAAAGACAATAATTTATCGACCGCAAAAACAATATGTACATCAAATTAAGCAATCTTGTGTTTCGATTAAAAAAATATAACATTATCCCAGCGGCGTGGCCGGGCTCGAAACCACCGAAACAACTTGGCGTTTCCACTCCCAGTTCGGGTTTTTGATGAAATCGACGCAGCCGACGCAGTCACAGTATAAGGCCCCGTTTCCACAGTATCCTAAAGTTGTTTTGTAATTTTTGTTGTTTTATTTAACGAAAAAATACCAGATTGGCTGCAGCACGGGGCGTTGGATTCCGGGTCACATTTGGGGATTTTTCCGCTCGGGAGGAGTGGAGCTGCGAGGCCACATTTTCCTGAAAAATGAAAAATGAAACTTTTAGGCTTGGGCTTAGGCTTAGGCTTAGGCTTACCAATATTATTCGCATTCTCTGCATACGTCCACCACTCGACCGGACGCCACATGTAATCCGGTTTCTTGGTGAAATCGATGCATCCGGGGCAGTCGCAGTGTTCCTAGGACCCTTGAATATACTTTTAATATATTTTTCTATACCGGAGAAGATCCACAGTAACCCCCATTCGAGCAACATTTAGCATTCGGATCATCGGGATTGCACGTAGCTGGGCCACCGTATTCATTCGGGGGTGCTAGGGGCCCACAGCGGCCGCGTCGGCCTTCTCCGGAAGCTAGGGTATACCTGGAAAATTAGATTATACAAGGAAATATTTAGCATAGAACCTATACTCCAATTTTGGTCTTTTTACCCGTTATTTGTATCGTTTAGTACTCACCATGTCACCTTCCTTTCCGGTTTCATCGGTTCTTTGAGCATCAAATTCGGATCCGCGCCATAGTCAACGCATTCCGGGCAACTACAAAATTCCGGTCCGGAGCCACAATACCCGAATTTGCCGCAGCAGGCGTGTCCTGTAGTAATACGTGATTTTAGGGTATTTTAAGTCTTTTCCCACCAGGATCATCAGGGTCACAAACAGGGTAGTAGCCATTATAAAGGGGAGCCGAGCGGCCGCACATCCCGGCGTATTCCTGGGTATAAAAATTTTATGAAACCACTGTATTAACAAGTTAAGGAATACACTATGCTGCGTCTTAGAACCTGTTTAATAGCTATAAGGTATTACGCTATTAAATAACCGTATATTCTTACAGCTTTATCCTCAAAAGTCCACCATCTCTGATCCTCTACCGGAGAGCATTTGTAGGGGAAGTCCTGCTTGAAGGGATGTGTGCAGAGTTCGCCGCCGGTTGCTGCCTGGAATTTGCTATTCCTGTCGTAATTAGTTCGTTATTGGTTATTTTAATGGTTTTCTAAGGTCCGTATACTTCAAATTTTCTGGCTTAAAAGGTTTAACTCCCGGAAAACGCCAAGAATGCGAAGTTTAACGATTTGAAGGGCACTTTGAGGGGAAATTTAGTCGAATTCTTCAAAAATTTTCTCTTTCGCTTAAGAATAGATATTTTATAGAATTTGACGCCAAAATAAATATTTTTTTTAGATGCAGTAATACGCTAAAATTACCACACCAACCTTCAAAAGCGTCAAATTATCGTCATCAAAATCAACGGCCCAAATCATCACCCCTCCAATGTTGCGCTCCTTGATGTATTGAACCTATAAAAATACACGTTGTCTTGGTTCGAGTACCCTTCGATACCTTATGCCCCAAACTCGCGGCGTCTTCATACCCAATAAAGGTGGAATTTTCGGGCATCCAGATGAATGGAGCCTTAGACCCCTCGTGGAATTTCGATCTGGAGACGTCAAATTTGGAGGCCATTTGGCGCCACTGGACATCGCCGCCCTAAAAAAGGAGGGATATCGCTTTCTCTATCTTTCTCTCTCTCTATCTCTCTCTTGCTCTTTCTCTCTCTCTCTATCTCTCTAGCTCTCTCACCTCAAACTTGTCCTCTCCTTCTACAGGTTTGGCTGTTCTCCACATGTCATCTCCGGGAGCAACAGCTTCCCCAACGTTATGCCAGAATCTACCGTAGAAGGGTACTCCCATGTTGATCTGAAATGGCTTGGGCTTAGGCTTCGGCTTAGGCTTAGGCTTAGGCTTAGGCTTAGGCTTAGGCTTAGGCTTAGGCTTAGGCTTAGGCTTAGGCTTAGGCTTAGGTTAGGCTTAGGCTTAGGCTTAGGAGTGGTCCCCGATTAGGCTTAGGCTTAGGCTTAGGCTTAGGCTTAGGCTTAGGCTTAGGCTTAGGCTTAGGCTTAGGCTTAGGCTTAGGCTTAGGCTTAGGCTTGGCTTAGGCTTAGGCTTAGGCTTAGGCTTAGGCTTAGGCTTAGGCTTAGGCTTAGGCTTAGGTTCCAACCTTCATCGTGTCCCTCAACTGACAGGAGTAGTACTTGATCGTGGCGTGTACGTTCATCTTTCCGGAGAACCTAAAAAAACAGTTGGTTCAGGCAATTTTGGATGACTACTTCTTCGGCATCGCAAAGTGCAACGGGGCTGGGGGACCAGTAAACGCGCCCCATTTGCTCTGCCAGGCACCAAAATAGTCGTACGACATGACGTTGACAAAGTCGACGTAGCGGAGTAAATTCTGGAGGTCGAAGCCTAAAAATTGCAGGCGCTTTCGAGAAACTGGTTGCTATACTTAATTAATCTATATTATCTTATATTATATTAATCTATAATATCTTTCCCGTTCAAGTGAATGGAGACGCGGCTTTGCGGGAAGCGCAGCAGCGGGCCGAATTTTATCACGACAATGGATAAAAGGTTTGACTGTAAGTAGGTACGCTACGTATCTCTTTCTCTTTATCTCTCTCGCTCTCTCGCTCTCTCTCGCTCTTGTCGTCTCTCTTACCCGGCTTCAGCACCCAGTAACCAGCCGCTCCTGCAAATGAGATGAGATACTGTTCGGGTCGGCCTTCCGACTCCTTCAGATCCGTCAGCTCCTGGCGCAGTTCAGCCATCAGTTGAACGTAGTTTTGGCGATCCATCTAAATGTCAAAAATCGTATAAAACGACGTACAAATCTTATATTGTAATTTTATCATATTTTTCTCTCAAAAATCTCTGGAAGTCTGTATCCCTAACCTATCTAAATTTTTTAAATCATGACTTTTCAAAAAATTGAAAAAGTGTTAAAGTTTCCCAGAATATACCTCTTCTCCCTCAACAGCCCCTCCGGTGACCGGATACTCCCAGTCCAAGTCGACACCATCAAATTTGAACTCTTGGATCACTTTTCTGATGTTCCCGTTCAGCTTTGCCCTTCCCGCCTGGCTGGCGGCGATTTTCGAGAAGTGCTGCGAGTTCTCCCACCCACCGATGGCGAACAGGACTTTCAGGTGAGCGTGTCGGCGTGCAACCTGTTGAAAACATGGATTTGCATAAGCCGAAAAGGGAATTTTAGCACGGGGCGGGTCACATGGCATATGCCATTTCGAGGCAGATTTTAGAGCCTGCGTTTTGCGAAATCTCACGTTTTTGTTTAAGTTTTAACTACCGTAATTTTTTCTGATGCTGATCAAAATAATGTTGAACATGTGAGAAAGTGCAAGAGAGTGCGATAGTGACAGAGCGAGAGAGAGAAAGAGAGAGAGAGAGAGAAAGAGAAAGAGATAGATAGAGCCAGAGCGAGAGAGAGAGTGAGAGAGATAGACAGAGCTAGAGCGAGAGAGAGAGAGAGAGAGAGAGAGAGAGAGAGAGAGAGAAAGAGAGAGCGAGAAAGAGGGAGAAGGATTCAGAAGGTTTTTTGTCTCGATTTCCTCATTTTTGAGCTTTTCGTGAGAGCACAACGTATTCTCGGTGTCTGGAGTTGTAAAAGTGAGATAAGCACGTGGAGCTACGAGACGGAACAAGAAAACGGAAGGTACTTTGCTTCCCACGGTGAGAATTCTCGTATTCTAGTCTTTGGATCAGCTAGCGTTGATGCAATATTTGAAAAGTTTTGCCTATATATGCAGGAGGGTTCCGGAAGTTTCCATCTTCCGGAGCTGATTTTTGTTGTCTAATTTGGTCCACTATTTTTTACCTTAAATTCGGCTTGTTTATGTCATGAAAGTCAGACCACTTTTTGCGCGATCTATGTGAATTTTTGAAATTTGTTTTTGAGGTCTTTTTTTGATGCGTTACGATTACGATTCTTTTTTTCTTCTTTGAGGCCAATTGCAATGCATACTTTCTTAAACTTTGATTCTGAGCTAGTTCTCTGCATCACTCTCATTTTCTCTATCTGTCTCGCTCTCTCCTATCTCTCGCTCTTTCTCTCTTTCTCTCTTTCTCTCTGTCTCTCTCTCTCTCGCTCTCTCCCGAATTACCTGCATGACATCGTGTAGCCGTGTGGCGGCCTTTCCAGTCAGACTGAGATCCCCGTCGGGTCCCATCGCGAAGAAGGCAAATACGAGGTGGGTGAGAAGGGTCGCCTGAATAGGGCACACGATTCGGGTAGAATCTATTTCTCATCTTCTCCCGAATACACTCTCCAAATAAATACCGGATGGATCAGTTACACAAAGAATGGCCCTCGGCCCTAAATGGGTACGGACGTACGTAGTCTTTAAAGCTTCAAAAAAGTCTTAAAGTCTTTAAAAGGTCTTAGTCTTTTAAAGCCAAATTTTTTTCTCTCGCCTACCTGCTCATCCCGAAACGGCACATCCCCCCAACTGGTGATGTATCCGACAACTCTCCTCGCACATCCTGGCTGGGGTGGGGCGCGATAATGGGCGATGATCGAGGGAAAGTGCAGGGCTAAAAGATCGAGAGTGCAAAGGATGAAAGTGATGGATAAAAGCGCTGTATGGATGGAGTGGATGAAATTGTCTATATTTGTTGTAGGATTATCACTTGGGATTTCTTGAGAATTTCCGGTTCTCACGTTTTTCACGAAACGGGAAAAGCAACGATTTTTGTCGCTCGTAGATCCATCAAGGTTCTTTGCTGGTATCCCCCTCTGATTTAATTCTTCAGCTGATTGACTAAAAGACATAAAAATCAAAATTTTGTTTCTAATCAGCTTTTTTCGAATTTTTAGAAATCCTCAAGAAGCTTGTTTTTTTTGTTCACCTACCTTGATATGGTATTTGCAAACATTTATCCAAAATCTACAATTTTAGAACCCAAAAAAGTAAATAAATTTGGTGCCAATGTCTTCTTGGTCGGAAATTTTAAATTCGAGATTCGGAAAATTTCTCAATGTTCTCTGCAAGTCTGGTTTTACGACTGCTCCCGCCGAGTAAAATTTAACCCAATCTATACTAGCAAAAACCGGCTTATCCCGTTTAAACAACTTCTTCATCTCGCTCTCTCTCACTCGCTCTCTCTCCTCTCTCCTCTACCTCTCTCTCCCTCTCTCTCTCTCTCTCTCTCTCTCTCCCTCTAGCTCTCGCTCTCACTCTCTTTCTAACACTTGCATTTTCACGACTTACCAATAAACAATCCAACGACCGGAAGTAGCCTCATAATTCCATTAATTTAATAGATATCGCAATGGCAAATTTTTTTGAATCGAATAGCGTAAAACAGAAATAAAGCCGAATTCTAGTAAAGCGGGATAAGCCCAAGAGAAAAATAAGGGGGTCGACCGGTCCCGGTGGGAAGTGGGGGTGTTCGGATGTTTTATTTGGCCCCAGGGGATGGACGCGTTCCTCCCCCCTCCTTCACGCCTTCAAAAGACCAAAAAAGCGTGGAACCAGTGGATCGTCGCGGGACCTCAGAAAACATGGGAAACGCGACGAACGCGAAAAAGAACATTGTTTGTCCCGGCCCGACTTGGTGATGATGATGATGATGGAGATCAACGGCGTAGGGACTTGGGAGGTCCCCAGAGGGTCAGAGAAAAACTGAAAAGATAAAAATAATCAAGCAAAGCGGAATACTTCACCGGAAAAAATAGATTTTCACTGGAGATGGATCTCTTTCTCCCTCATGCTTTTTTCACCTCACGTTCACAGTTTCTCTTCCTTTCTATGAGTCTCACAAGTAATATGTTGCGAGCTCTCACCCTCTCAATCTCGCCTTCGTTTTCCATCTCTCTCTCTCTCTCTGTCTCTCACACTCCTTCTATCTCGAAGGATGCCGCTCGATCACTCTCTAACTATCCTTCTCGCTCTCTTCACCCTCACACAGTCTCGCTCTTGCACGATCTCTCTCGCTCTCTCTCTTTCTCTCTCTCTCTCTCGCTCTTTCTCGTTTACTACGGCTAACGAATAAGTAAACCCGGTTGATTAGACCAGATTGCATATTTCAGAATCGTTGAATAATTTTATGCCTCAGTTATCCCACCTTTTTGTCTCCCCTCCCTTGTTTCCCATTTACGCTTTACACCTACATAGCCGCTCGTTCGATGCATCCAAGCATAAACATCCCAATCCACACCACAAAAAAGTAATTTCCGCGGGGCGGGCCCGCCGATTCGGGTCCGCTAACTAGGATAATCCGACCGAAGCGCGGTTTTCAGTTTTTTTGTCCGGTATAACTGTAGTCATTTTGCCATTGGATGCACCGTATTTTGTAGGTATATTTTTAATGCATAAATATTTGTCGTATCATTTCTTCTATTCGTTTTCGACTTCTAAAGGAGCATTGAAGTCTGCTTCCGCTTCTAAAAGTGACTTATTTTGAGCATCACTTAAGCTTTTTAACTATTACTATCTTCGGCCTTATTTACATACCCCTAAGACGCACCCTACCTTGCGAAACAACGAACGTTCATCCACCCTAGCTGATGTCCTCCCGGGCCTCTTTTTTTGCCTAGAAGGGCATAGCGCGTGGGGACCCGTAAACAACTCCAGAATCGTGGAAAAGTGGAAAAGCGCGGTCCCCTATGTGGGCCCGAGATGCTTATTTCCTCCAGGGGGAGCCCCGCGGCATGCCTTTGTTGGCATTGCGTGTGTTTTAGTGATCTGCAATTTTAAGCGTTAAAAACAAGCCAGGCTTTGTTTCACGAAGTCGCCTTAGCTTGAGTTTGAGGTTTGAAATACTGTAATGTTCTGCTCAATTTAAAAAAGCATTAATTTTTTAAATCTAATTTTTCGACAAACTTTGCGAATTTTGACAAATTTTTCCGGAACTGATCGGATAGGGAGTGAAATTTGATCTACGCAACCTATCCTAAGACAAAAATTTGAAGCTTACCCTGACTCAGACAATCAAAGTTTGGATTTTTGCAAATTTTGTACCTGTTCTGCCAGCGAAACGCGTTATTTTTTGCCTAATTGGGGCTTTCTGCAACTTGCTTTCGATCCTGTTTTTATAGAGAATTCAATTGGTCATATTCTGCTACCTTTTTACACAAAAATCGACGAATTCCACCCTGGGAACGGCCGCCGTTCCCATCCGTGTTTTTCCCCCGATAGCCCTGGTCTTTCATCTCCAGTCCCTCCCCCCGGGATAGCCGATGGCCGCTATGCCCTTTTTGATCAACTTTTCTGATAAATAGACATTTTTCATATTCTCACGTTTGCGATTACCCTGTCGCTTTTAATAATTCAGTATAGCCTTAAAAATATCGAATTTTCCATTCTGACACCACAGCTTATCTCCACTTTGCCACTTCATACTATGCTTCGTGGTAATCTGGTACTTTAAGTGATGCCGGACTACAAATTCTACTATTTTGTCAACCGCGGCCGTGGCGAGGCCATTCGCCAGATGTTCCACCTCACCGGCACCAAATTTACTGATGAGGTGTTGACTCAGGAGACCTGGGCGCCGATCAAAGATGGTGCGCTTTTTTAGAGGCAGACAAGTAGAATGGTACTCTACCTTTTCCAGACATGCCACTTTATCAAGTGCCTGTACTTGAGGTCGACGGCGTGAAAATCGGCGAATCTGTAGCGATCCTACGATTTTTGGGACGAGAATTCGGTGAGTCAGAGAAAGCGAGAGAGAGAGAGAGAGAGAGAGAGAGAGAGCGAGAAAGAGAGAGGGAGATAGAGAGAGCGAGAGAGAGCTAAATCTCCCCCATTTCGGGCCTCACCGGCAAGAACAATGTCGAAAACGCTCGTCTCGACATGGTCGCCGAGGTGGTCCAA